TGGCGTCAGCCTAGCTCACAGCAACCTCAAACTCCTGGGCTTAAGCAATCCTCCTGCCTCAGCCTCCCAAGTAGCTGGGACTATAGGCATGCGCCACCACGCCTGGCTAATTTTTTCTATATATTTTTAGTTGTCCGGCTTTCTATTTTTAGTAGAGACGGGGTCTTGCTCTTTCTCAGGCTGGTCTCAAACTCCTGAGCTCAAACGATCTGCCAGCCTCGGCCTCCCAGAGTGCTAGGATTACAGGCGTGAGCCACTGCACCCGGCCCGGATATACTCTTAAGATCTATGTTGGATGGCATGATAAAATTTATAAAGATTAAACTGTCAAACTGGTTTAACGTGTCAGATCTACAGTGACTAGGGGCCTACATTTCCAGAGGTTTTTTTTTCCCCCAGAGATCAAAAGAAATAAGATATAGTTGTTGATTTCTCAGTATATGTTTAAAAGGAAACATACATCATATCTCTTCATGACCCAACTCTTCCTTTGGATTGATCTTGCACAGTTCTTTTCAACTTTTGGTCATTACATCTGAAATGATGCAATCACAAGTTTCTTTAATATAGAACACCTATATAACACCATATATTTTACCATGGAAGTCTTAAGGGGAGACTAATCAGTACACCAATAATTTTATTTCGGTACTCCCCTTTTTTCTTCTATGAAGTCCATAAAGCCGGTAGAAAACTGAAGTTCCAAGATGAGCTTTTAGCACACATTAACATTTACAATATCATTTACTAACAGATCAACATTTTATAAACATTACCTCATTAACTGAGAGGCAAGTAAGCAATTACACAATGCCTTGCATATGGTAGATGCTCAATAAATGTTTGAATAAATGGATAGTAGTATTGCCTAGAGAGAAGAGGAAAAGGAAGAAGTGATAGTACTTCATAACAAGATATCTACATGCCAACAATAAAGGGGGTGTGGCACCTTAATTAATCTGGCTATTGATCCTGGCATAAAAAGACAGTTAGGATTTACCTAAGTAAAAATCAATCTATGACAACATCAATAGGAAAGTCTCCCACACTAAAGAAATAATGGTCACAACTTTTAATTATAAATGGGTTACAAATCTTATAGCACACAAAGAGACATCTCATTCTTAAGGTTTCACAAGTGATAATCCACATGGGTTTTGCCGCTCTTGTTAAATACTTTCATCAGTACTAAAGATAGGCAGCTTGTCCACTCTAAAAACTATTCAGCAGAACTGCTATTTTCCTGCACCAGGTTTCAAATCTAGATTAGTGTATTAAGATTTTAAGACCTCAACTGGTATCTAATAATATGTAAGCTCTTGTGTGGATTTCACAAACCCTGTGGAGCAATTATTTTCAGAGAAAAGAAAACTGAGAGGATCTGCATAGTAGTTACATTTGTATGCAAGAATGCTGAATATCGCATTTACATATATGCATAATGAGATAACTAAAAACTACATCATATATTGAAGGGGAAAGTTTACTCCTAATCTCAAAGGTCACAAAAGCAGAAAACAGGAACCAAAAAAAACAGTTTTAATATTTATAAAAGACCATCAACACAGAGACAAGCTGAGGCCTGTTTTAGAATTACTAATGCTAATGAGAAAATTCTTTGTATTAGAATACTAGAACTTTCTCTCTCTAAAACAATCACTGTTTATGTCATCATACTGACCCAAAATACCTCTATTCCATAGTCTATTTTCCATTCTGCACTGTATTAAGAAGTTAGCTTGCATGGCACTATGCACAAAGTGCACAACTAGTCCATGAGCCATGGCAATCAATACTAGCTCCATTCCATTAAATTCAAAAGGAAATGTGAACCAGTAAGAAAGGACTAACACTGGTGAGAAAAGCATTTCTATTTTAATATCAAAATGGCAGGACAGAGCCACATAACTAACCAAAACACTGGTTTTCTATCCACGTAATATTTTGTTATCCTGCTAAAAAGCATTCAATACCTGTTTTGGCAATTCTAACAAAAAAGAAGCAACTGAAAGTAATAAAACTAAAAAATTAAACAAACCAGTAATCACATGATTAATTCTATTGTTAGGCAAGTTACCATTTAATTTTGAATTTAAATTCCTCCAGAGGGACACAAATATTTGATGCTATTTGGAGAATGAAGAAATATCTGGGCCCCCATTTGGTTAAAATATTCAAACAATGGCTGATGAATATACTAAGTTTCTAAACCAAGGAATATTGCCTAGGTAAGTTTTACCCTGATTAAGAACTAAATCCTAACTAGAAGAAAATATATGTGTTTGGCACATCTAGCAAAAAGGCTAATCACTTACTTGAAGTATAGGTCTTTGAAGGTAAAATGTGTTTCCACAATGCCGGTGGTCTTCACTCTTGTCCGAAGAACATCTTGCTGAGTTGGAATGTAGTTGGTTTGGGATATTCTATCCAAATCATTTAGGTAACTAAATAAAATATACATTTATTTTTTACTGGTAAAGCCAACCATGTAAACAGTAAGTAAACAGAATGAATTAGTTCCTTGCCAAAAGCAGATTCTGAAACCGTTACTAAAGTGGTGCAACAAAATCAGATCTTCAGTCCCATAGAAATTATAAGAAAAAATGTGAATCTGGCATAGGATAATTAAAGTAGGCTCTCTATATATACACTAACAAAAGTGGGGTTTTTTTGGTTTGGTTTTTTTTTTTGAGACAGAGTCTAGCCCAGGCTAGGGTGCCATGGTGTCAGCCTAGCTCACAGCAACCTCAAAACTCCTGGGCTCAAGCCATCCTCCTGCCTCAGCGTCCCGAGTAGCTGGGACTACAGGCATGCATCACCATGCCCGGCTAATTTTTTTTCTATATATTTTTAGTTGTCCAATTAATTTCTTTCTATTTTTAGTAGAGACGGGGTCTCGCTCTTGTTCAGGCTGGTTTCGAACTCCTGAGCTCAAACAATCCGCCTGCCTCGGCCTCCCAGAGTGCTAGGATTACAGGGTGAGCCACCGCGCCCGGCCTAAGTGGTTATAGTTTTTAAACCTCAAACACATGAGAGGTAGAGAGGACTAAGAGGGGCTATGAGAATTTTGATTATTTTTGCTTTATTCTATCCATCCATATTTGTCAGTTTGTTTTATTTTATTTTTTTAAGACAGAGTCCCACTCTGTTGCCAAGGTTGGAGTGCAGTAGCATGATCACAGCTCACTACAGCCTTGAGCTGCTAGGGTCAAGTGACCCTGTCTCAGCCTCCTGAGTAGGAAGGGGTTACAGGTCTGCACCACCATGCCTAGCTAATTTTTTTTTTGTAGAGACAGGGTCTCGCTATGTTGTCCAAGCTGATCTCAAACTCCTGGGCTCAAGCGACCCTCGCACCTTGGCCTCTCAAAGTGCTCAGATTACAGGTGTCCCTACTTGCCAGTTTAAAAGTAAACACAGGTCTCATGGGATGATTTCCCCACCAAAATCTAATATTTATCCGCCTCAAGAGATTACAAATAACTATTAACATAAAAATGGAGACACTAAAAATGCAGATCCTGGGTAAAGAAAAAGGGGAAAGGGGAGCAATCATTTGTATCTTAAGTAGTCATCAGGACAAAATAAACTAATAAGCAAAAGGCATTTCAGACCACAGATCAAATCACAACCCAAAACTCTTAACTTGTACATTACCTAGACTCGTACACTTACCTAGACAAAATTACCCATAGTGCATTCAAATTAATTTTGTCAAACTCTGGGTCTTCAGCCTTAGCGGTAATATTCCCTCCTTTAAGATCCTTTCCTATATTCTTTCTAGTAATATTTTAGGCTCAACCCTCCCCTGTCCAAGTACTAACCAGGCCTGACCCTGTTTAGCTTCTGAGATCAGACAAGATAGGGCACATTCAGGGCAGTACGGCACAGACCAGGCTCAACATTCTCTAAGAAACTTTATCTAAGATTTATATCCTCCTCCTCTCTTTTCCAAGATAAAAATTTTAAACAAGAATGAATGATTGAGAAAAGCTGAAACATACAAATTGGCCAACATATTCAACAGTGAGCATGTCCTTCTACCTATAAGGTATAGTGCTTTAACTTACATTTGAAGACTTTATAGTCCCTTGGTTCTGAAATCTAACTGTATTCATACAGGTATTCAAATAACTTCATTAAGCATTACTTAAAAAAAAAAAAAACCATGATTCTGATTTTAGAAACTTCAAAATAAAAGGACTTATTACTACACATTTTTGCTGTCGAGACTCCATAAATATTCTTTCAGGAGCAAGACCCTATCTCGAAAGAAAGGGAAGAAAGAAGGAAAAGAAAAGAAAAGGAAACAAAAGAAAGAAGCCGCCCTTTACAATGAATCTCACACCTTAACTCTTAAGCAGATATGAAAAGGAACCTAGCCCACACGTAGCTCTATTCTTTTCTATTCACTCTTTCACCAACCATAAAAAACTAGAGAAGGGTAAGAGCAGAGCTATAAATGTAAATCCTTACATATGAAAGAAAAAAGAAGAAACTTTTAAAAATTATATAGGATTATAGATTAGGATGGGTGGAGCCTGGAATGCTAGGTAATTTAGGAGGCCTGAGAGGGATTAATGATGTCAACTGCATATGGTGATATAGGAGTGTTAGGATCCAAAGATTAATGACAACTAATTTGATAAAGGAAAGAAACAAAAGGAGGAAGGGTGATGAAGACAAATAAAGGAGGACAGCGAGAAAGAAATAAAACAGGAAAAGGAAAAAGGGAGAAACTAAGAGAAGTAAATAACTGAGATAGAGAAACAGCCAACAGAGAGAGAGAAGAGAATAAATTACTGACCAGTTATCAGATACAACAAGTACAAAAGAGAAGCAGAGTTAGGTGACAGGGAGAAATGAGAAAAGGGAGGGGAAAAAATAAGATCACAGAGAGAGCTGGTACAAAGAAGAAAAAAAGGAAAAGGAGGGAAGAAAAAGCAGGAGGTGGCCGGGCATGGTGGCTCACGCCTGTAATCCTAGCTCTCTGGGAGGCTGAGGCGGGCAGATCGTTTGAGCTCAGGAGTTCAAGACCAGCCTGAG